AAGGGCAGGGTGTAAAGATTAAAGGAAACGTAAAAGATTTATCAGTAAATGACAATATGCAGTACCATTATTTAATATCTGGAGTTCTTTTTGTTTGTTTTTACATGACATTTGCAACTATTAGAAATTTGAACACTGACCAGAAATTTAACATCAGCAGTGATCAAATATTTATAAATGTTCACCAGACAGTAAAAATCATGTGATAATGGTATTGTACCTAAGTTTGAAAAAATCAAGAGCTCTAATCTTCAGTGATACATATTGAAATATTTCCAAGTAAAATCATGTATTATCTAGGATTTGTATTAGCACAGTAAGAAAAATGGTAAAAAAACATGGATAAAGTAGGATTGGCCATAGGCTAATTGTTGGGACTAGGTCTACTTCTATGTTTGAAATTTTCCACAATTAAAAAAAAAAAAAATTTAAGAACCATAAAAAAATTTGTGCCACAGAATTTCAATAGCCATTAAAATCAGAAAGTACTCAAAAACTTTAAAATTTAATGTCAATTATCAAATAATGAAACATTATGAAAGAAAATCTGTTATAAAATTTCACTAGCAGTAGACTTAAAATAGTCAAATAAATTACTGAACAGCAATTCTCTCTTTTTCTCTCTCTCTCTCTCTCTCACTGCTGTTCAGTCAGTTCTGACTCATAGCGACCCCTCCTTGGGTTTCCCAGGCAGTAACTCTATGGAAGTAGATTGCCCAATCTTCTGTCCGAGGAGTGGCTGGTGGGTTTGAACAGCCAGCCTTCTTGTTAGCAGTCAAATGCTTTAGGCACTATGCTACCAGAGCTCCCATTAATAGCAATTAGTGATTGATAAATTAACATTATGTAGAAGAACCCTACAGTGCCATTAAGAGTAATAAAATTGTATGAATTTATAATAAATAATAACACTATTCTGCAAATCTTTCCATACCAAAACTTTTGTTTTCAAAGAAGTGAACTTCATTGTTAACATTTCTGGCACAAATAGTTTCATCTTCTGACCAAGATGGACACCTATATGGAAAAGAAAGAGTATAAAGAAAAGTTTAGGCAGACTGTAAATATCACATTTTGACATGTTAAAGTCTGTGATATACATATGATGTTAAGTCAATTACTAATAGTTTCAGTCAGTGTATATAACAGAAAAATATTGTTTCTGTCCATTCAAATATTAAACAAAAGAAACATCAAGAGTTTTTTTTTTTTACTCTTATTAGCTTTAATGAAGATTCCTACATCAGTGGCATTATAAATCTAGCTTTTGGTCTGAAATACTATTTTTGAGATCAATACCAGAGAAACATTGCATGAAGATATTTAAGTTTTAACACTTTGTAAATACTTAGTACTTTAAAGCATTTATCTACCAATTTTGCATTTTTTTCTGGATGAAAGACTTCAAACATGTTCCAGTTTTCATGTCAAAAAGTTGCAGGTTGGGTGCCCCAGCTGTGCCATCTTTTGAAGCTGCAATGAAAGCCATTATTTATTTATTTATTGCAATAATTGTCTCTTAACACTTGTAAAAAGATTTCATTCTTAGAAAAAAAAATTGAACAAGGTTATAAGATCAAGTAAAAGTGTTGCTTTAAATCAACTTTCTTCTCTAGCCTTACCTATGGATATAATCATCCACTACTAAAACCATGACAACTGTTGATGAGCAAAAATCTAGCACCTCT